TGCGGGTGAGGGACATCATGCTCATTTGGGCACGTTCAGTTGAGCCCTAGGTTAGACATTCATGTGGAGACCTCGAGGAGGCCGTGGTTATATTCATCTGGACTTTATGGGAGAAGTTCAGACTAGATGTATAAAGATGTTGGCATCTAAGTGGTATTTAAAGTCACATGGCATGAAACAGAAGAAAGAAGAGCCCAGAAACACAGCCACACAAACACTGATCTTTGACAAAAGGGAAAAGGCAACAAAGTGGAGGAAGAATGGTCTTTTCAAAACATGGCGCTGGAATAACTGGATGTTGATAAACAAAAACATGAAATAGACACGGACCTCCTTCCACTTTTTCCAAAAAGGAATTCAAAGGGGATTGTGGACTGAAGTATAAAATACAAAACCATAAGATTCGTAGAAGAAAATTTGGGATAAAATCGTTGTAACTTGGAGTTTATTCAGGGGTTTTTAGATGCAACACCCGAAGCATGATCCATGAAATAAAATATTGATGGGCTGGACTTTATTAAAATAAAGCAGGAGACCATCCAGGGAGGGAGGGGGTGCAGAGAAAGAAGAGCTATCCAAGGAAGATGCTCTGACATTTCGAACTACATGAATACCCTCTTGAACTCCCACAATTGGGGGAAGCAATTGGGTTGGAGATAGAAATTTAGAAGTCAGCATAACTGTAGTTAAAGTATTCACCAGTCGCATAGAATGACCTGGAGGGCGTCCCAGGCAGACAGGGTAGAGAACCCAGCCTTGGAAGTCTCCAGCAAGGAGTTTTGATATGCGGAGCAGCAGGAGCCAGCATGTGACTGATCTGGGGCTATAGAGAGGCAGATAGGAACCAAGAGAGAGCTGTTCCCAAGACCAGGCCAAAAAAAGGTGTCAAGAAGGAAAGTGTGGCTGAGTCTCTGGTGCACACCTGTAATCCTAGCCACTTAGGAGGCTGAGTAGGAGAATCGCAAGTTCAAGGCCAGCCAGGGTAACTTGGTGAGATCTGTCTCAAATTTTTAAAAATGAACAAGTGCTGGGGATGTAACTCAGTAGTAGGGCGCCCCTTGGTTTGATCCCCAGTACCACAAAATAGAGTGGGGCTGGGAAGCATGATCAATGCATCAGAAGCAATCGAACAGCCAAGAGAGGCTGAGGATTAACTATTGGGTTGGCCCCATGAGGCCGCTCATTGTACTGCCAGCAATGCTCTGGGCTGTTGATGCAGAGCTCTGCCTAGAGTGGATTCAAGAAGGAATCACAGGGCCAACAGGGTTGTGGCTCAGTGGTAGAGCGCTTGCCTAGCATGCATGAGGCACTGGGTTCCATCCCTGGCACCACATTTCAAAAAATAAATAAAATAAAAGTATTAAAAAAAAAGGAAGGAATCAGAGAAGAGGAAAGCCCAGCTAATTTAGGGAGTTCCATCATAGAATTTTCTGGAAAGAGAATCAGAGATAATGGGCGTATCTGAAAGGGACCTCACAGAGAGGGTTTTTGTAAATGAAAGAAATTGTGGCAAGCTTGTCTCTTTGCAAATAATTCAGCAGAGATAAGAAATGATGCAGAAGGGGAAGGGGAGGACTGCAGGATCACAGGGCCCCTGGGAGAGAGGAGAGGAAGTGCTCCAAACTGAACCATCTGGCACTACAGAAAATTAGCACAACCCGCAAGTTCAAATGTTAGGCCAACTTCCTCATGAGGTCCAGAAGATGATAAAAGCAACAGGTAACTGTATCTTTTAATGCATTAAATTTAAGTTACCCAAGCAGAAGAATGAGAAGTTATACTCCATTTATGTATGATGTGTCAAAATGCATCTACTGTCATATATAACTAATTAGAACAAATTTTAAAAATGACCCAAAAAATTAAGTTACCAAATTCTTTGAGGCTAAGCATCAATTTATGTAAAAACAGTTAACTTGTCTGTGTTTTGCTTCACCCCAGGTGCAGGGCAGAAGCTGTGTTGGCAAAAACATCTTCTGTGTCATCAACATTTAAAACCATTAAAGATTTAAAAACAAAAAGTAGATTAATGCTTGACTGGGCCTGGGGGTAAAAATGGGATGTGAATGCAAATTAGTCAGAAGCTTCTTTATGAAATGATGGACATGTTGTAAAATTAGACTATGTAGTACATTAACAACTCTTTAAATACACTAAAAAACATTGATTTGGACACTTAAGGCAGGCCAATGTTGTAGTATATAAATCACATCTCAATGAAACGTAGAAAAAAGAAAAATTATTCAGAAAAGACACTGGTCCTCTGGGAGGATGCTGCTCCTCCCCTCTCAGAAGCCAGAGTTTGATCTCACTACTGCTGGATCTGGAAATTCCAAAGCCATCTGCAGAAGTCAGGATTCTATGATGTGCCATCTAAGAGCTTCTCAGATAGAACAAGGTCTAGACTCCAGGTATGTTTGGGTGGTAATTTAATCCACAATTCTTTGATCAACAACCTATAAAAATTTGTATCAGCCAGTGAAGAATACTACGTCTGGCACTCTTTGATAATAGAAGTAGTCTTCAGAGATGAACAAATGGAGTTCACAGGAAGAAACCAATACTTGCTTGATATTATAGTCCATTCTTTGGTTGCTATAAAAAACTATTAGATGCCAGGAAATATATAAAGAAAAGAGGATTATTTAACAGCCAGTTTGAGAGGTTCAAGGGCATGGTGCCAGCATTGGCTCAGCTCAGCAAATAACTAATGACCGACAGCATTATGGTGGGAATGTGTATAAGAGGGAAAGATCACACAGGGAGACAGGAAGTCAAAGAGAGAGAAGGGAGTGGCCAGACTTACTCTTTTATAACAGCACTCTTGAGAGAACTAACCAGGGTCCCACTAAAAGTATATCAATTTCTTACTAAGGGAGGGCCCCCAATGACCTAACTGACTCCCATTAGGCCCCACCTCTTTTTTAAAACATTTTTTTTAGTTGTCAACGGACCTTTATTTTGCTTATTTATATGTGGTGCTGAGGATCAAACCTAGTGCCTCACACATGATAGGCAAGCGCTCTACCACAGAGCCACAGCCCCAGCCCCTAGGCCCCACCTCTTAAAGGTCCCATCACCTCTTAATATCACCACACTGGGAACCAGGCTCCCAACCCATGAACCCTTGGAGACTCACTCAAGTCATATCCAAAAAACAATGCTCATCCAGCAATACTTTCTATGCTCGCCTATTTCATTTACACAGAGATTCCCATTTTCTCCATTAAATCTAGCTCAGTGTTTACATTGGTTTGTTCCTGACTGTCTTGAGGACTCTGAATCTCTGATCCAATCCCCACCCAGGTAGATTATGTGATGATAATCTACCTCTTGGATTATGGGGCCATGCACATGCAGCTCAGCAAGGTCTTCTTTAGAGAACTGCTCTGACCTGGTGCCAGCTCCATCTCAATGCAGGATATCTCTGAACTACTAAGGGAAGAGCTGAATAAACCTTGGCTGGGACTTTTGCTAATCACCCCAACCCCTCAAATTCCACCACTGTGGCTGCCTCTATCAGTACCAAGCCTCAGCAATGTCCTGATGGATAGGATTTTGTGGCCAAATAGATGACAGGTTTGCAAGGTTTCTAGGTGGGCTTTGTCTCCCTCTGGTTCAAGGCTGTAGGTCTTCTGTATGGTCCTTACCCCTCAATGTGTCCTGATCTTCGGGCCATCAATCTTCACTCACTTGTTGCCCCTCTCCTGATCACTGGCACCTTAGACCCTTGCCATTAATACAAATGCTTTCTTTCAGGGCTGAGTGGTTAGGAGCAGAGGCTTAAATCTTGGTTCCTTTTCTGTTTCTCTGGGCACCTTGGGAAATCACGCTGGGCACCCCTCTACAATTCAGTGTCTTCTCTGTTGCGAGATTAAATGGCTAATACAAAGTAGAGAGTTTTACCTGGCAGTAAGCGCACAGTCATCCAGGTCATCCTTAATTCTTCCCCTGGTCAGTGAATTGCATCATCTTGCTGCAATGCCTTTGGGGATCTTCCAGTTTGGGGCACTTTATAGCTTCCTACAGCATTTTTTGTGACTCAGGGATTACCATTTTACTATCAGGGACCTTACTCCCTTCTTTTTATGCTGTTACTGAAGTTCAAGATCGCTGGGCTATCAACTCTGGATAAGAAATTTGCTTTCTGTAAGCTATTTGCACTTAATTCCAACACAAGCTGATTTCTCTGATACTAGAGCAACCTGATCTCCTGTCACCATTTCTTCACTCCAGTTTGTCCCCAGTCCTCCTTGCTTCCATGTCTCCAGCCCACCCCTACCCCCAGAAGCAAAAAGAGGAGCTGTGTAGCAGGCTTTCCCATTTGTCCGTGCAAAACCCTTGTCCTCTACAGGGACTCATTTACCTTCCTGGCCCTAATTCTTTGCCCTTTTAAGCTAGAGCTATTGTTACTTCTAATTTGCATTGAATGGTCCCTTAGCAGCCATCACATACTGAATGTGATGCCAGCTTCCTTCTAATACTGCTAAATGTACCAGAATCTGAGCTCTTCCTGAATACAAACTTAATATGTGATAAACAAATGTAAACAGCCTTCACCACATCCACAAACACAAAGATCCTCCTTTGCCAAAAAATTACATCATCGCCACATTGACTAGAATGCACATTTTAATGAAGTCTACATTTTCCTTGCCATCAATAAAAGTAATCCCAAGGATGTATTCCCCTTAAAACATTTTTGGGTCCAAAACAGTTTCACTGCTCTTATAAGGTTGGGGGAGGCAGTATACAAATGGCCAACAGGTATATGAAAAAGTGCTCAATTTGTCAGGGAAATGCAAATCAAAACCACAATGAGATATCACCCCACTCCAGGAAGAAAGGTTATAATTAAAGAGATAAAAGATAGCAAGTAATGGCAAGAATGATGAGAAAAGGAAACTTTTGTATACCGTTGGTGGGAATGCAAATGAATGTAACCATTATAGAAAACAGTATGGGGGTTCCTCAAAAAATTAAAAATAGAACTACTATATGATCCAGCAATCCCAATACTGGGTATATATACCCAAAAGAAATGAAATTAAAATGTCAAAGAAACATCTGCACTCACATGTGTCCTATACCACTACTCACAATAGCCAAGAAATAGAAACAACTTAAGTATCTATCAACTTATAGATGCATAAAGAAAATGTAGTATACATACACAATGGAATACCGTTCGGCTATTAAAAAAGAATGAAATCCTATCATGTGAGACAAGATGGATGAAACTAGAGATCATTTTGTTAAGTGAGTAAGCCAAGACAGAAAGACAAGTACTATACTCATATGTGAAATTTTTTTTAAAAGTCAATCTCATATTAGTTGGGAGTAGAATGGTGGGTACCAAAGGCTAAGGAGTGGGAGTGGGAGAGGTTGACCAAAGGATACTAATTAGTCACGGCTGATTCCAAAAAGCTAGAAGAAGAATTTTTAAAGTTTTTACTACAAATAAAGAAGTATTTGAGGAGATCTGATTTAAATATTACACAATGTATACAGCTATCGAAATATCACATGGTATCCCATTAATATGTACAATTTTATGTCTTTAAGTATCAACTAAAAATAAATTTCGAGTGGTAAGGTCCTCCCCACCTGCTGGGGGCGCTCCGACAGCTGCAGAAGCGCTTGCACCTTGCTGCCCAATGAGATGATCCCATCGAGTACGGTTCATTTTACTTTAAAACATTCTTGTCAGTTTTCTGCTTTCTTGCCATTTTCGAAAGTATCCCAGATCCGTTAACCATTCTGTCGCTTTTCAGCTGCAGCTCCTTTCTCCACTCGCCAAAAACAGAACTCCATTCCTCTCTTCTGAGTATCATTTCCTCCCATGTATTTGGCCATTAATAACTTCCTCATCACCCAGACTCTGCATCTACAGTAACTTTTGGCAGTATTTGAAGAGCCCCCTATGTCTCTGACACTACCTGAAATCAAAATTAAAGCACTCTTTTAACCATTAAAAATGTTTCATTAAAACTTTTAAAAGAATAAGAGAAAGATCTTAAATAATAGACAATATTTAAATAAGTAGATTATTCATAATAATTATATATATAAAGTTGTAGTTGGACACAACACCTTTATTTTATTCATTTATTTTTATGTGGGTCTCGCAAGTGGGAGGCGAGCACTCTACCACTGAGCCACAACCCCAGCCCCATAATAATAATTTTAAAAACACATTTATTTTGACTTTACCTTTCCCATAAGGATATAAACAGTGGTGTGCTAGTATATTAGCTCCCTGGGAGAAAAAAAGTAAAGATGTATTTTGCAGTGATTGTCTATATGGATGGTGGAAATACTCCCATGGTGGCTAATTTCAAGCTATCAACTGTTCAAGAAGGGCCTCACAACGTTCCATGATATTCAGCAGGTGCAAGCAAGCGTTCTAGCACATCACTGAAAGTCAATCTAAAAATAGGTATGGAATATGCACCAAGTTAACATAAATGAAGAGTAGGAAGAAAGAAGGAAAGAAATAAGTCTAGAGGTACAAAATGAAGCCCGGGATTTGTAAATACAAACATGCATACGGTAAAGCCCTGGGTACATACTGAACACATTTGGCTTTAAGCAGTCTGGGGTTGTGGCTCAGTGGTAGCGTGCTCGCCTAGCATGCATGAGTCACTGGGTTCGATCCTCAGCACCACATAAATGTAAAATAAAGATATTGTGTCCACCTAAAATTAAAAGAAAGAAACTGCTAGCACTGAAAGGAGAAGCTTACCTGGTTTACATGTTCTTAAGATAAAAATAAATTGCATGCTGAAAAGGACCAGTTTCCTGTTTTTCAAGTAGGTTGCATTTCTTCTCTAAAGGGTTCTGTAAAGCAGAGTGTGTCACAAAGTGCATGTCTTCAGCAACATCAGTCTGGTGGTCTGACCTAGGAACTGCAATGAGGTAAAAGCAACGCTACAGGCCAGGGGGCCCAGTCTGTGTCTAGGGACCAGCATTCCCAGCCAACTCCTGTGAACATGTGCCACAGCCTTGGGGCAATCTTCCAGGCTTTTGCTAAACATCAGACTGTGGTGAATTTGAAAGTGCCCTCTCACCCAAAACAGTTACTGGCCATAAACTCTGACCCATATGTTCGGACAATCAGGGCACAGGAAAAGAGGATATTCCCTTTGGAAAACAGGCATCTACTAGGAGTCCCATATGAAGCTAGGGCTCCTCGACTTCAAAGTGAGCAATTCCTGGTGCAATATTCAAAGTGTGTAAGGAAATGCAAATGTTAAATATGCAGGCTCCAATCTACCCTGGCAAGACAGTTTTATAGGTCCAGAAGGAGAGGATGGGAGTGAGAGCTGTGCAGTGAACTGAGAATTTTCTCAGCTTTCTCAACTTCCTTCCTAAAGGTCCATAAAAAGGAAAAGGTCACCTTTTCCTTTTGGAATTTGGTGGAAAGTTTTAATTTAAAACATACGCTTCTAATGGAAGTATAATATACATATAGAAAAGTTCAGAAATCATGATGAAAAGAGAACCAGGACTTCAGCACTAGATCAAGAGGCAGAACACCACTTGCCCCCACCACCCTCTTACACTTCCTTCCCCTCTCGGTTTCATGACCTCGGGCATCACTGGTTCCTCTTACCTGTTTTGGACCTTGTATTAATGGACACATATGATAAGCGGTGTTTTCGTTTCTGGTTACTCTCACTCATCATGATGTTTGTGAGGTTCATCCACCTGGCTGCAAAGAGGCATAGACAGTTCATTCTTGGTATTCCATTGTTTGAATATATCCCTATATGTCCATTTTTCTTTTGATGAGAATTTGGGTTGCCTGTTAGTTTTTTTTTAGCTATGAATAGAACTTTTATAAACATCCTAGCACATGTTTTTTGGTGGACACAGTGATCATTCCTGAGTTTATACACCGAGGAAATTACTGGATCATATTATATTGCTTTAATAAATACTGCCATAAACTATACCAGAGTACTTGTGCCAAAAAGGTAACGTTTTACTCACTTGAATAAGCGAAAAGCAGCCAGGCATGGTTGTGCACGCCTGTAATCCCAGCAACCCAAGAGTCTGAGGCAGGAGGATTGCAAGTTTGAGGCCAGCCTGGGCAACTTAGCCAGATCCTGTCTCAAAATAAAAAGAACAGGATGTGTAGCTCAGTGATTAACACCCCTGGGTTCAATCCCCAGTACTTCGCTAAATAAAAGAGTAAGCAAAAATCTTTAAAGTGTAGATGACCCAAGTTGAAGAAGTTGTGAGAGATTTGGAACACTAACATAGTTTGTAACACAACTCTATGCAATCTGTTATCACTGGCATTATGAAATAAACAGATTTAATAATTCAAAGCACAAATTTGAAGTTAATCATTAGTCCAAGATGCAGAGGAATAAACATTCATTCACTAATGAAACAAGAATAAGCCATTCAGGATGTATATAGTAATGAAAGGATTTGTTTCTTATTAGAAGCATTCTATTAAGATAAGAAACAAGGTAGGGATGATTTCTATCTTGCCAACATTGTCTTGCAGATAGTTGCCAAGGCTTATAGACAGGGAAAGGCATTTAGAGAACTGCAAGAGTTAGAGAAGTGCAAAAGAGGAAGTAACGGATTTTTTCTTGCAGACAGCATGAGAGTTTACCTGCAAAAACCTAGAGAAGCGACAGAACTAACTCAATAATATAACTCAGCAAGGTAAAAGAAGGCAAAATTAACCTTTAGAAACCATATTCTTCATATATGCCATCAACAACCAGTTACAAACATAATGCTAGAGCAAGTCCCATTTACAAACAGCAATAAGAAATGAAGACAATATGTAGGAATAAGCAATAAGAAACGCACAAAATCTAAATGAGAAAAACTTCGAACTCCGGATGACAGAAAAGTAGATTTGAACCAAGGCAAAAGCAACTCTTGTTCTTGGGTAGGAACGCTGCTTCATAAAGCCGTCAGTTCTCCTCAAATTAATTTACAAAGGTAATGAAATGTCAACAGAATTGCCAAAAAGCATTTTTTATCAAGCTAGGTAAGTTGAAACTGAAATTTATACAAGCAGTCACAAAAGATTACATACTGCATGGATATATTTATGTGAAATCTCCAAAATGGGCAAATTTATAGAGACAGATTGATTAGTGATTGCTTATAACGGGGAGGAGGATAGAGCAGGGAACAGGGACTGACTGATAATGGGTGCAAGGTTTCTTTTAGGAGAGAGAAAAATGTTCTAAAATTTGATGGTAGTGATGGCTTCAACACCCGGTGAATATGCTAAAAAAAATTGATTTGCATACTTTAAAAGGGTTCAATACAAGATATGTAAATTATAATCCAAATAAAATTTACATGATAAATAAATGTGCAGAAATTGAAAAGCAATAAAAAATACAAGGCAGGACTAACCCTACCATATATTAAAACATATATTGCAGTCTTATAATAAAACAATGAGGTAGTGGTGAGTGACTATGAAGACTGGTGGAATAGAATAAAAAGCTCAAAATAGATGTCAACCCTGGAGAATTTTGAAATACGATAAAGGTCTCTTCTCATATTGTTGGGACAAAGATGGATTTTTTAATGAATAGTGCTGAGATAACTGATCAACTATTTGTAAAAAGATAAAATTAGGTACATACCTCCTGCTTTATAAAATTCCAGATGTGTTAGGAAAAATGTTCCAAAATTTTACAAAATCTTCATAAGCACTAAAAGGAAACATGGGTCAATTTTTCTTTAATGTGGGTGTGAAGAATAGGCTTTCTGTGACACAAAATCCAGAAACAATACAAGAAAATAGTGACATATTTACCTTTATAAAAATAGCTGAGCATAGTGGCTCACACCTATAATCCCCACAGTTCTGGAGGCTGAGGCAGGAGGATGACAAGTTCGGGATCAGCCTGGGCAAATTAATGAGATCTTGTCTCAAAAAAATAAAAAAGAACAGGATGTGTAGCTCAGTGGTCTAGTGTCCCTTGTTTCTGTCACCAGTACCACAAAACAAAAACAAACCAATGTTTGCATGTCAAAGAAATGTCATAAACAAAGTCAAAAGAGAACTAACGTGGTAATGGGTAGAATAATATGTATAAGACCAAATATTCTGCAACTAACAGCTGTAAAGTCTGGACAAAATATTTTTTAAGACTATCTAAAACTAACAATCTAAAGCACAGAAAAGGGGTCTACAGCAGGCAGACACTTCTACACTTGAAAGAAGTGATCCACACTAATGAATTTTCTGTCTTCACAGATTCTCACCTAAGGGCTTCTTGATCCCACTTGGCACCGCCCAGATTCTAGAAGTCAGATAGAAACCTGCAGTCTTACTGGCTTGGGAAATCAAAGGATGAAGCTCAGAGCTATTGCCACAGCCGAGCAGTGAGGAAAGAAATCATGAAAAGAGAGCCAAGGAGAAGGAACTCCAAATTCAGAATCTAAACCGTAAATTTCTCAATGCCTTTGAAGTATGAATGTATGAGACAACCCACCTAGGGTTGGAAGAGTTCAAAGAGACATCAGCTGTTGTTCACCACAGCTAAGACAGGCTATGGAATTTGAATTCAACCAAGTTAATTGTCTGCTAAGACAGAAATTTAGATTGAAATCTATTCAGAGGAATTCTAATAGAAACCATAGCTTACACAACGTGTTATTCACAAGTTCAGAATACAGTAAAAATCACTGGACACACACAAGTGTATGTGTACATACATACAATCACACACACACATACACACACACACAAACACACACACACACGGAAATGTTAACCCATATGCAAAAGAAAAAGGTAGTCAGTGGAACCTGGTCATAATAGAATCCACATAGTGGACTTAGTACTCAAAGATATTTAAAGCATCAAAAACTGTTCAAGGGTGTAGAGGAAAAGAAGCCCCTAATGAATGGATAGATAGATCTCTGCAGAGAAATAGAAAGAATAAAAAGAAATCAAGCTCACCAGGCACAGTAGTGCACACCTGTAATCCCAGTATCAAGGAGGCTGATGCAGGAATATTGCAAGTTCAAAGACAGGCTGAGCAACTTAGCAATACCCTGTGTCAAAATAAAAATAAAAAGAGCTGGAGGTGGGGCCTGGGCTATGATTCAGTGATAGCACACTTGCCTGGCATGTATGAGGCACTGGGTTCGATTCTCAGCACTGCTTTATGAATAAATAAAATAAAGGTCTATCAATATCTACAAAAATATATTTTTAAAAAAGGACTGGGGTGTAACTTAGTGGGAAAGCACCTCTGGGTTCAAGCCCCCCCCAAAAAATATATTTTTTAAATATTTATTTTTTAGTTCTAGTTGGACACAATATCTCTCTCTCTCTCTCTCTCTCTCTCTCTCTCTCTCTCTCTCTCTCTTTCTTTATTTATTTTTATGTGGTGCTGAGGATCAAACCCAGGGCCTCACATGTGCTAGGCAAGCACTCTACCACTGAGCAACAACCCCAGGTCCCCCCAAAAAGATATTTTCAGACAAATAGAAATTAAGTGAATTCAGTGTCAACTATAAGAAATACTAAGAAATTAAATAACAAAGACCCAAAATCAATGAAATGGAAAAGTCAAACAATATACAACAGAGGCAAAAGTTGGTTCTTTAAAAATATCAGTAAGATGATAAACTTCCACTGGGATGTAGCAAGAATAGAGGGAATAGAATAGAGCCTTGCAGACATCTAAAGAATAATAAGGCAATATTATGAATATCTTTATGTCAATAAATTTGACAATTTAGATGAAATAGAATAATTCCTGAAAAAATAAAACTGACATAAGATGAAAAAAAAGTAACTAGCCCTATCCTTACTAAAAAAAAAATGTATTATCAAAAACTGTTTCACAAAGAAAATTCCACACTCAGATGGTAAATTCTATTAAACATTTAAGGAAGAAATAACATCAACTTTGAATAAACTCTTGTTTAAAACAGAAGAAAGGGAAGTTTCTCTCAAGGGCTTTATGAGGTCAACAACTTTAATACCCCAAACCAAACAAGGACATTACAATGAGAGAAAATTACAGAATGTCCCTCTTAAAGCTAAGTACAAAATCCTCAACAAACTACTAGCAAGTTGAATGCAAAAATATGTACAAATGATACCATGAACAAAATGAATCTTATCACAAGAATACAACATTGATTTAAAATATTAAGATCATCATTGTAATCTACTGTATCAATAAAATAAAGAGGAAAGCAAAAATGTAACCGTTTTGTAAACAGAAACAACTGCAGAGTTCAACTTCCATTTATGATAATAGTGGAATACCAAACACTTTTCCTCTTTTATCACCACAAACAAGTCAAAAACGATTACTTGCATTAATTCTGTTCAATATCCAGTAAGTAAAACAAAAGGCATGAAAATTTTTTAAATGAAGAGTTAAAACTCTGTGTAAAAATGGCATCATTGTTTAGGTAGAGAATCCGGAAGAGCTTCCATGAAAACCACTAGAATTAATAAATGAACTTGGCAAGGTCACAGGATGTAAGGTCAACATGCAAAAATCAATTACATTTCTATTTATTACCAGAAAAAAATAGCATATGAAGTTTTAAAAATATTTCTATTTATACTGATGTCTAAAACATTAAATGATTAGGAATAAAGTTAACAAAAGATGTTTATGATCTCTCCAGAGAAAACCACAAATTTAGAAACCTAAATAAATGAAAACTCAATATTTTAAAAATTTACATTCTCCCTAAATTGATCTCCCTAAATTGAGTCAATGGCATCCTCATCACAGTTCCAGCACGTTTTTAGAGAAATTGACAAACTGATTCTGAAATTTACATGGAAATGCAATGGACCTAGAATCTCCAAAACGATATTGACAAAAATCGAACTAAATAGGAGAACTTATGAGACCTGAACTTCAAGACTCCATTAGTTAAACTAGTACAGTGCTTGCAAAAGATTACACAAATGCATTAATGAAGCAGAATAGAGAGCCTAGAAATAGCAAACACTTAACAAGCTCACTTAACAACTGACAAAGCTACCAAAGCAATCTAATGGGAAAAGCAAACTCTTCTCAGCAAATGACACTAGCACAAGTAGCTAGCCATAC